ACAATTTGCAGTACATAACTATGTTGTCAAGTTGCATAATAACTCATCTCCAGGCCCTTACCTAGTATCTACAGAAATGTCAGGCAAATGTGGGTGCTGGAAATGGCTGCTATAATGGGAGTATACAGGAGAGGGCACAAATGCCTGGTCACTCTGCTCTCCATTTACCTTGTATTTTGCCAGACTAAAAGATGTAGACATGCCATATAGACACACACAGCAACACTTCCCAAGCTAGATGGGCTACCAAACCCAAAAAGCTTTCTTCAAAATAAGAAAACCAAATTCCGTGGCCTCTTTAAAAAGACCTGGACAGAACTATTCCTGGTAGAAAAAAATTAGAACAAGGACTGTCTCTCTAAGTTGGGTATTGATAAAGAAGTATCATGAGGTAAATTTCTGGAATGACGACAATATTTTTTATCTTAATTGAGGCACGCGTTACTACAAAAACATGGTACCAAACCATCCCTTCCATAGCACGTTCTACTTCTCATCTGGGTTTGGGAATTCACTGCAAAGAAGCCAGACACTATACTTACAGTTATGGGCCTTACTGGAGGGGGAGCGGGGGACGGGTGGCTAACAGGCTACAATGCAGGATCAGAAAATGCTTAGGGTGCAGTTCTTCTCCTCTGCTGTACCCACAGACAGGCTCTCTCTGACCCTTAGCCTGGCCTCTGCCCTCTCTGCAATGCTACAAAGATCTTGTTGTTGTTGTTGTTAAGTGAAGAGCTGTGGAAAAATGCTCCCAGGGCATACTACTCCACCATAAAGCTCAGTTTGGAAAGTATTCAGCTCTGACTCTGTGACTCAGCAAATCTTGTCCCCCAGATAAGCAGCAATTCTGTTGCTGATGCTCCTCTGGTATCACCACTTTCTGGGTCAAGGAGCTTCATTCAATGCACAGGGACACTGAGGACCAAAGGATGTGCTCCACTCCTGGAGATTCCCCCACTTCCTTCCTCTCAGATGGAGTCTTTTATACTCACGTTAGAATTCCAAATTTTTATAATCACAATTAGCACTGTTAACAATCAATTCACAATTGGATCATATCCTCTTAGCAGCATTTTCTCCCTTTTCTTACCCAGACACATTAGGGGGGTGGGGAAAGTTGTTTGGTAAGAGTTACAAAGACTAAGGGTAGAACACCAATATGAAATTATTCATGATGCTGCAGTTACATGGGGTATGCATCTGCCAAAACAGAGTTCATTAAATAGTATAAAATTTGTACATTTCTCTGCCTAGCATACCTCAGAGATATTGCAGGTTTGTTTCTTAACCACTGCAGTAAACTGCACATCACAATAAAGCAAGAATCACAATTTTTTTGGTTTCTCAGTACATATCAAAGTTATGTTTACTCTCTAGTATAGTCTATTAAGTGTTTGTATTTAGACTTGCTGTCTTAGAACGTGTTCCCAGAAGTAGAATTACTGAGTCAACGGCTTTGAAGTTCACTGAACTTTTACTGGGTACTTCTGCATGGGCCAGCTCACACAGTGTTCAGATCAGGAACCAAATGATGAACAAAATGTGGTCTTGGTCCTCCCCAGCAATTCGCAGTACGTAAGAAGCATGCTGCCAAACTCCTTTTTCAGAAGGTGGTACCAATTTATATTTCCTCCTTAACACAGACTCCACATTTTCCCATATCTATTATGATTCGTACAAACCAACCAAGCCAAAATCTGGCCTAGAAGTAGGTAAAAAGTGAAACCTTGCTTTGAGTGAATGTTTACTTAATTAGTTGTGCTTCCTCTTTTATCAATTACTTCAGGCTCTTTCTCAGACTTTTATTGGACATTTGTTATATTTGTTATTGATTTGTGTATTTTCTTTATAGAGCAATGACATGAGCCCCATGTCAGAAAGCATTGCCACGCTTTTTCCTAGTTCCCACTTAATCTCTTTTATCCACACTTAGAATGAATGGAGTCCTGCTGTGGCTCTGTAGGATAAACACTGGACTGTCAACCACAAGGTTGATGGTTCAAACTCACCAGCCTCTCCTCAGAAACCCTATACAGGGTTGCTATGAGGCAGAACTGACTTGACGGTACTTAACAACATCAACAACAGAATGAATTTCATTAAAATATAATTTGAAGAGTTCATGCCATTCTGCCTACATTAAGAGATGATATAATGTGGACTACATTATAGTTTTCTCTTCATGAGAATCTAGAAGATTTTTTTTGACCCTGATATTAGTACCAGAAATGATTAAGGTTCTCCTGAGTGCCGGGTGTATTTTATATCATGAACACAGAAAATCATGTAACCAAACATGTCTTCTTCACAATGTCTCCTAGAATTAAGGTCAACGGCATCGTCTGCCCCTAGCAAATGCACACACTTTAGAAAGCATGCCTTTTTGTACTCTTCACATCACCCCTAGCTTTATCTGATTTTCCCTTTGTTTTGCTTTCTTCATCCTTTTTAAAAAAATGTAACCCCGGGAGCCACTACTAGTAAGTCAATTCTGGATTCGACTTACAACAGAACAGGATTTCCCTAAAAGTTTCCCAAGGATTTAAATATCTTTATGTAAACAAATTGCCACATCTTTCTCCCACAGAGTAGCTGGTGGGCTTAAACCTCTGACCTCTTAATTAGCAGCTAAATGCCACTAGTAGTTACAAATGCAACATAGTTATTAAAATTAAGAAATAAAAAAATGCATGATACTTGGTTCTTTTTTAAAAAAAAGAAATCATATGGTTCAGCAAATCACTGAGATGAAATAAAGTGTATGGTTTGTTGAATGCAAAACTGATAATCTGCTCTGTAAACCTTCACTCAATTCACAATAAAAAGTTTCTCGAAAAATCATATGGTTCAAAGAATATAAAACAAAAAATACAGCATGTCACACTCAAAGAACTTCAACTTGTATGTTGTTAGCTGACAGATTTCTGATTAGATTGTCTTCACTATCAACTCTGATTTTGATATCTACCTGTAAGATTTTTCCACCATGTCTCAAAAGGAAACAACAAAACACACACACACAAACCAAAGTAAAAAGTGCCAACAAACATTGTGAGAGCACATTTCTAGTGTTCTAATAAAGAAATAAGGAACACAGTCTTGCTTTTAAGGAGGGGACAAACTAGTGGCCAAAAGACAAGGAAACCCCAAATCACCAACAAATGTGTTAAGTGCTATGAGAGAAAAAGGTATTACAAACACAGGAAAGAAGGGAACTTGAGATGCCTTCTGGGAAAATGAGTAGAGTCCCTGAGGCAAAAACAGTCCAAGAGATAGAAAAAACCTTACATGCTGAGCAAAGGAGTTTCAACTTAACCCTGAAGACCATGGAGAGACCACTGCAGTATTTTCAATGGAATTTAAGTGACATGATCAAATTTAAATTTGCATTTGAGAAAGATCAGTCTGGTAGTGATGGCAAAACAGACTGATAAGGGATGAAGAACCTAGTAACCCTAGTTATGGGGTCAAAAGTTTAGAAGAAATGAGGGTCTGAGAGATTCAAAACATTTTTTAAACTCATGTTTCCAGTTTACTATATTTTCTAACTATTGCTAATATGTAGGAATGCTATGAATTTTTGCCAATAAATTTAAGTCCTTGAACTCAGATATTTGGAAGTATTTCATAGCATCAAAATGTTGCCTCTTTAAAAACATTTATATTCTATTTCTTACTGGAATGGCCAGAACAACAATACTATTTAAAAATAATTACTTAAACAGTATGATTTTAGGCTACAAATTGAAAAATGGTCCAAGGGAACAAAACAGAAAATTACTGGACGTCTTTAAGAGCTTAGTCTTGCCCACCGAAAGCACCTTAACAATAGTGAGAGGATTTGCTATTTAAGACACACTGTTGGGATAGCTATCTATCAGTAAAAAGCTTCCTATCATATGGCTGCAATTCCGTTCAGATGGACCACATAGTTAAACGTAAAAATAAAAAAGTGAGAGGAAAATGGAATAGCATATTTATTCCGGCTGTGGAAGGAAGATAAATTTCTGACTATTGTGGAAATAAAGGATATCATAAGAGACAAATGGGATAGGTATGAATATATAAAAATAAAATAGCTTTGTCCAATGAAATGTAATAAGGAACAGTAATAGAAGAGGGAAGAAAATAACTGATAAAAGCATAGTACCCAACCAATATTTAAAAAAATTACTACTACTAATATATATTAAATTTTTTTTTTGAAACATAAGGTTAATAACCACATTCCATTTAATAAATGATCAAAAGAGATGAATAATTTATATGCAAAAGAAACAGTAAATTATCAATTGGAACATTTTTTCCAGGAAAGAAGGAAATGTAAACCACAAACAACTTTAGGGTATCATGTTGTTGTTGTTATGTGCCATGGAGTCGATTCCGACTCATAGCAAACCTGTACAGGGTTTCCGAGGCTGTAAATCTTTACGGGAGCAGAAAGCCTCATCTTTCTTCCGTGGAACAGCTGGTAGTTTCGAACTGCTGACCTTGTGGTTCGCAGCCTGATTCGTAACCACTATGCTACAATACACTTGTTGAATTAAGAAATCAACAAAGAAAGCAGAGCACAGTATATTTCTATATTGTTGGTATCACGGCCAATGAGTCCAAGCTATCTGGAAAACCATCTAAAGAAATGGGACAAGAGCTGCAGATGCAGGCAGGTATGTGCAGGGGCAAACACATGCACAGTCTGACCTTTGAAGTCCACTCTGAGGAAAACTTTCTCAAAAAGACGAAACAGTCACTTACTTGGTTAAAGAAAATGTAAGTGCTTTCCTATATTCCTCGTTGATTTAGGTCCAATGACCTTAGAGTTACCCAGAAGCCAACTTGTATTGTTCAAAGAACTGGCCAACTGTTATCTTCCTCCTTTAACATCACATGAGCCAGAGGCACCTTTAGACTCCGTAAGAGCCAGCCCAGGCGTATACATCCGTTTCACAATTTTGGTTTCTGGAAAGAAAAGCAGCTGCTGAATTGTCTTGGGGGCTTACCGTGAGTGTGGCGAGTGACATGAAGCCGATTAGGTTGTTCCACACTTTATCAATGTCCTTCAGCAACTGTTGGAGTTTCTCACTGCACACTGCGGTGGCCTTTATCCCCAGCTCCACACGTCTGGTTACCCTGTACACCTCAACGACACCTGGCAGAGTGAGAAAAAGGGTCGAGAGTAAGATAAGCAAGATGACAAGGCAGCATTAACTTGCTGACATCTTTGTTGGAATTAAGTCTATCTGGACAGAGGTGGCCTTACTATTCCTTGGGACTAAGCGCACCTCGCAACACTACCCTATGACTTACTACTAAGAGGACAGACTCTGGAGCAACACTGACTCAATCCCACTGCCGTGGAGCTCAGTCTGACCCACAGAGACGCTACTGGACAGAGTAGAACAGCCCTGTATGGTTATCCAAGTTGTCAATATTGATGGAAGCAGACTGCCTCATTTCTCTCCCAAGGACTCACTGGTGGTTTCAAATCTTTCAGTTGGCTGCAGAATGCTTTAACCTGTGTCACCATGACCTCAAGGAGCTACACTAATTGGGTTCAAATCCCAGCTCTGCCATTTGCTAGCTCTGTACCCTTAGACGAGTCATTTAATCCCTCTGTGCTTCAGTTTCCTCATGTCTAAGATTGGGCTAATAATAGTACCTCCTCCTCAAAGGGTTACTGAGAGAGTCAAGTGAGTTAATACGTACAAATGGCTTAGAACAGCGCCCAGAGAATCCCAGAGAATCGTGAGTACTGTGCAATCGTTAGCCTCCCCCGCCCCGCCCTGATTTCTTAATGAGCCAATCTGTTTGAAGTTGGGAAAACCATTACACTGGCTGAAAACATGAATAGTGGAAGTTTAAAAGAATTGCAATGTCAATATCATCACGAGGTTGTTGTTAATTAAACAACAGCTCATCCTGAATTTTCTATGATGTATAAATTTTGTGGCTTCATATATCTTTACATAGGATACAGGAGGCAGACTGGCTCCTATCCTGTAATCTCTGAATTGTGGTTGGACTTTTCAATCAAGGATGACAGATTCCAAATACCAGCACTTCCTAAAGAAGCCAGAGACACCTCTCCACCTCCTTGAAGGAGAAGATGAAGAACTGCAGGGAGTTTCCTGAATGGAATGCCACCAGCCTGTGAGTTTTTCCTCTTCCTTCCCTAGGGGAATGACAGGGGTTGTTGCCCACCCCAAGCCAAGCAGGGATGACTAAGAAAATATCCCCTAGAGATTAGGAAATCTTCTAGAAGGGAAGACCAGATTCCTCAATTACTGATGGACATCTACGTATATAGTAAAACTGGGCTTGTTTGAGCAGAAAGAGAGGAAACTAGAATGATGTGGCAGAATAAAGGAGAGACCACATCCCTTCACTATTTATTCAGTCATTCAGCAAATATTTTCAAGTTCCAGACACTATTCTAGGTGTCAGGCACAGAGCAGTCAACAAAACAGATCCAAGCCCCTGCTTTCTTGGAGCTTCATTCTAGTGGAGGGAGAGAGATAATAACCAAGAACGCACAGTAAAATATTAAAGGTAAGGGCTAAGGAGAAGATTATGCAGAGAACGGGACAGAAGTATCAGCGGGTAGGGAAAAACATAGGCCAGGGAAGGTCTCACTTAGAAGGTGATATTTGAGTACAGATCTGAACAAGATTCAGGTCCACAGAGTAGCAGTGACACCAGAGATGGAGGCAGAGATGAGGGCATGGAGAGAGAGCAGCTGAGGACTCTAGACTCATGGGAAGAGAAAGACAGTGCTGGGGACCAGGAGGCAGGCTTGCAGAATGTGCCCTTTGGTTGTTTAAATTATTATATATTCCTGAGTGTTTTTGTGTATACCCTCCCCCCTCAAAAAAAACAAACAAAAAACCCCAAAGCAAATACTGTTGAATGATGATGCACGGAGATTATAATCATTGCAATGAAATGATAGTGTAACGACGATGTTCTCCCATGTAAACTATCGCTAAATTCACAATAAAAACTTAAATATAGGAGACAACAACAGTAACAAAAAAGATTCAGGTCCAGCACACGTGGCCACAGCCAGGCCCCAAGGTTGAGGAAGGGTAGGATACTGAACTAGACATAGATGGAGGTTTTAAATTGGATTGAGCTGTTAAATAGTGGAAGGTGGCCATGAAGCTAAGGTATATTCATGATGTTACAGAAAGAATTCAGACACAGTGATTTCATTTTTATGATTTACCTAGTTCAGACTCTTTGATAAACCAGTTACACAGATGCTATTTTATATTGTGTATAATAAGGACTAGGAAACTTAGCCATAAAGACCGTAAGTCAAATATTTGCTACTGCCTGTGATTTAAGTGTCTTATCTACAAATGCAGATGCTACTAAGTGAAGTAGTCTGTGGCTTTAGACAACTAGATTAATACACTTAACAGAAGGAGAAACTGAAAAAACAAGAAGCTAAGTGCCTGGAGGGGACTGGAACCATGGCAATGAGATGATATATGATGGAATGACGATGGAATGAATGTAAAACTAAAGTTCTCTCATGTAAACTACCATATAATTCACAATAAAACATTAAAAAAAAAAGAAGCTAAATGATTTAAATAAGCAAAATGTAAAAGAACATACCTAATAAATATTCCATGCCTTGAGCTGACTGAATTACTTCTGTGCAAACAGAACTACTACTGATTCCATTTAAGGTGTCATTTGCCTTCTTTATGACCTATGAGAAATAAAGCAACATCAACTTATTTAACCAAGAAAAAGTCACTGCAAACCAATTTATTAGTAGTAAAAAACCTACCAAAAAAGCCAAGATATATGTAAAAGCATGAGTAACTGAAATAGATATATGACTATGCTAAAACAACCTGAGAATTAAGTTCTACCCTTGAAGAAACAATCCTCTCTTTCTTTGGAAGAAAAAAGACAGCAATATCCCAGCTTAAGTATTATTCTAATTTAAGGAAAAGTTAATGATGTACCTGGAGCTCTGGTGTGGCACTGTCAGATAAGCACTCAACCATAAGGTCAGTCTGAATCGCAAGCTTGGTGGTTCAAACTTACCAGCTGCTCCTTGGAAACCCTATATAGGGTTGCTATGAGTCAGAACTGACTCGATGGCACTTAACAGGAATAACAATGATGTCACTTGGTTTTTTTCTTAAATAGTAACAGATGAGGGCAATAGAGTTTGCTATTATATATGTGAAAGAAGTCTCCTTAAAGATGTATGAGTTTGTAGAGTTTCAGGCTGTGCAAAGCCATCAAGATAAGGCTAAGTTTGCTTCTATCCATTTGAATGAACCAAGGAGAACACAAATGGCACAAGAGAGCTTTTATAAAGGCATGAATACAAAAGTGACATACTCACATCTAGGGCACTCCCCAGACATCTCTGCCATTCGTATGCATATCTCTCATTCTCCTAGGAATTTAAAAATAAACACACAAACAAACTGGGTTAAATGGGCATGCTTAGAATCCTCTATTTATGACTTTTGTCAATTCAAATAGCACTGGAAGACACTGCTTTTATTAAAATTATTTTAGCTCAGGCCCAGTTATCTTTTTGAACTCACTAATAATTATTATTTTGAGCACAGTGGCGCATAGAAGAAGCACTACTGGACTGCGAACCACAAGGTTGACAGTGGTTTGAGCCCACTAGCCACTCAGCGAATGAAAGAGGAGGCGTTCTCCTCCTGCAAAGATGTGCAGCCTTGGAAACCCCATACAGGGTTGCTGTGAGTCAGAACCACTCAATGGCACTTAACAACACTGATTAGTTTAAGGAGCCCTGGTGGTGCCGTGGGGTTAGGCTGCTCCACTGGAGAAGACGAGGCTGTCTGTACACACAGACATTTATAGTTTTGGGAACTCTAAGGAGCAGTTCTACTCTGTCCTATTAAGCTGGGAAGGGGACAGGGAGTACAAGCAGGTGGGGAAAGGAGATACAGTTTTGAAAAAGAAAGGCCAGGGAAGGTCTAACATAGAAGGTGGTGTTTGAGTAAACAGCCTATGTGGCCATAGCCAAGTCCCATGCTTAAGGATACTGAACCGGATAGAGATGGAGGTTTTAAGTTGGATTGGGATGTTTGATAGTGGAAGGTGACTAGGAAGTGAAGGAATGATCATGTTGCTACAGAAAGAATGTAGAGAATGGTAAGGCAGTGATTGGAGATAAAATTATTTAATCTGATGCCCCTAGTTCAGACTCCTTGATAAACCTGCCCTAGAGCGTGCTAAAGGAGCTCTGGTAGCGTAGTGGTTACGAATCCGTCTGCAAACCGCAAGGTCAGCAGTTCAAAACTACCAGCTGCTCTGCAGGAGAAAGATGAGGCTTTCTGCTCCTGTAAAGATTTACAGCCTCGGAAACCCTGTACAGAGTCGCTATGAGTCAGAACCGACTCCACAGCACATGACCAACCAACCAACCACGGAGTGCTATGAGTCGGAATTGACTCAAGGGTACAGGGCTTGGTGTTTAATGACTATTTTTAATTACTAATAAATATGACTTCAGATGACATTACCTGAAAATCTGAGGCAAATGATTTATAGCAGTTTCCCTTCTCTAAATGGTGCCTCATTTTCCCCAGTAACAGAGTAAACCTTCCTTCAAATGTACTCCCGTGCAGGTTTCTAGTACAAGAGACAACATCAAACCACTGGCTTTCTGCTCCACAGTTATGATGCTGTGTGTGCATACATGGGACAAAGAACAGGGGAAGGAGAACTAAGGGTGTTGGCTGCAGGAGGCAGTCAGCAAGTGACTAAGATGAAGTAAATGATGAAATAGAAGATCCAGAATATTTTCTCTCTTATTTTGAGGTTTTACTTTATGAGTTGGAACCGACTTGATGGCACACGACAATAAGATGGTAATGTTTAAACACTCAAAAAGAATCCCCCCCACACTTCTCTTCTCATAAAGGGTCATGAACAGTTTGTTTTTCGGGTCATTAATTCTTTTCAGTGGGTGTCACTTCTGGTATTTTCATCTTGGACTAACGTCACCGTCTCTCACTTTAATTACATTATCTTATGCCTGACATCTTATGACCTTCAGCCCCTCATTTTCCCATGAGAAAGCTGCAGGCCCCTTTATCCCGGGGTCCTCAGTGCGTTCGACCTGGCTCCTGTGGAAGGCCAGTGTGCTCACCTCCACCTCTCCTGTCAGATCTTTGTACTTGTCACGGATGACAGGCAGAGCAGGCTTCTCACTCAGAGTGCTTGAACGGTCTCGGAAAGGTTGCTCCAAAGCTGGAGAAGGAGAGGAACGGCTGATTTCTTTATCACCCAGGCTCAAACTCCTCTTGTGAGATCCTGCAAGTGGACAGTAAAGCCCCAGGTTTGGGTTACTAAGCTTAGTTTAAGCAGGGGCCCCTTCCCTGCTAACCCAACTCTCTTCTTCAAGTGCTCTGTTCCAAGTCATTCAGAAACACAATCTTCAATCACCCGGCCTAGGAAGCTACGGGGTGACTCCTTCCAATTCTTTATTCTTGCTGGCTCCCTTGCCTTTAACTTTCTCCATTACAATTCTAACTGCAGAATCATGAGTCTGGAGGACAAAAGTGACTTACGAGACTTGTGTTGTTTTCCCTGCGATTAGTCAGGAATGTGTGAAGAGTCCTGCTGGTGCAGTGGGCTAAGCACTGGACTGCTAACTGAAAAGTCTGAGGGTTGAACCCACCAGCCTCTGGCAGGAAGATGAGGCCGTCTACTTCCATAAAGATTTACAGCTTTGGAAACCCTCTGGAAAAATTCTTCTCTGTTCTAAAGAGTTGCTATCAGTTGGAATCGACTTGACAGCAATGGGCTCAGTTAGTTAGGAATTTGTCCTGTGCTCTTAAATACAATGTAATTGTGACCAACAATCCCTTCCATTAGAATGGGATTAAAGCAGAAGAAGCCAAATAAACCCACTGCCATCGAGTCAATTCCAACTCATAGCAACCCTACATAGGGTTTCAGATGCTATAAATCTTTATGGGAGCAATAGCAGAGCTAACTTGCTCACAAGTGGACCTAATGCATTACTTGGGTGCCTTTAACACAACTCACCTGTAACCAATAAGCTAATGAACAATAGACTTGGTTCTATGCTTGTTTTTTGGCCAACAAAGAACTCTTCTGAGGAATAGTGATTTGACTTCAGTTCAGTCTCCTGGAAATCTTTTCATATTTATTTCGAATAGATCCTGCTCCCAAAGGTTGGGGAATCTCTTTCCTGCTAAACAAGGGACCCAACTTTTTTCTTGAAAACACCTACCATCTCAGTGGAAGAAAATCAAGATAGAAAACCTACACAGAAGCTACTCACCTTGAACAGAAAGGTCGAAGGTTGCCAGCTCACTTTTGATCATTTCTTCACTGGATTTCATTTTGCTTTGTGAATTCGCCAGTAAAAAGTCAAACTTGCTGATTTTGGGCTTTTCACTTTGGAACTCTCCAAAGTCATCCGAACATTCTTTAGGGGTTTCATGAGAAGCACCACTAGATGCTGGGCTTGGACACATGACCTCTTGGCTCCGGTCCGCTGAAGGCAGGTCCTGACTTGTAAAATCTTTAAAGTTCCTGCTTTCATAGTCCTTTTGCTCAATAGTCTGTGGGATTCCATCTTTAAAATTGGCAAAAGCTGGAAAGGTGGTCTCTGGATGAGCATCTTCACTTGCAAAGGTGGTTATTTTGGAGAGAGACGTCATGGTGATGCTTTCCGAACTGCCAAAGGAAGTCTCTTTCTTCTGGAAAACGGAAGCAGCTGAGGAGGACCCGCTTCCTGCTGAGAGGACAAATGGAGAGGGTTTTCTGCCCTGAGATGCATCATCCCTGTCTGACCAGTCATAGCTTGTAAGTGTGCTCACTGCAAAATTGCTACTGTAGGTTCCAAAAGAGGCATATTTTAAGTCCTCTATATCTGAAAGGGAAATAAGACCCCACAATTAGAGACAAGCTCACTACTTAGGCAAAATGCCTTAAACTCTGTGGAAGCAAAATGTCTAACATCTCTGATCCATGTTATGCTGTGTTAAAGGCAACTACATTCAGAGCTTGCAGATGGGTTTGTAAAATCTGATCTTAAAAACCCACATTAGCCTTGAGTGGCCCTCTATCTTTAGTGATGAAGAACCATTTTCTTCGGGCATAAAAATTATTTTTTAAAAAATGGTAGTTCATCTACCAATGCATATACTGTTTGATAATAAGGTTAGTCGTTTAATAACTTTTCTATTTACTTGTATTTTTAATTGTGTTTATAGATTCCTTGCTTAAAATGTGGCTCCTTTCATGCTGCGAGAAAATGTTACTTTAAACATATTCATCTGAAAAGATAATTTTTAAAATGATCTCTCAAAACTAAAGTGAAAATAATGTTTCCTAATTTTTAATCAATTATTAGAAATTTCTGTCTCAGGCAAGGCCACATATGAGATTTTAATCAAGCAATTACTTACCTGGTTGTTATTTTGGTTAATTTGGACGTCATTGTTGTAGTGGAGTGTGAGGAAAGAAAAATCAATCTAATCTACATTGTTGTTGTTGTTGTTGAGTGCCATTGAGTCGATTACGACTCATAGCGACCCTGTAAGGAGTTTCCCAGGAGCGGCTGATGAGTTTGAACCGCTGACCTTGCGGTTCAATGCATTATCCTTCAGTGCCACACCAGGACAAGGGTCTGAGTCCAGTCGGGCTCCTGTTTCTCATTCAACTATGAGTCCCCTCCCTCATGAAAAAAAGGCAAAACTAACAAAAATCTCCCAAACCCCAACTTCACAATCCTAGGGCAAAAGATTCATTTTACAAAACATTCTTAATATACATTTCAGTAATCTTAAGAGGCTGCATAGAACTGAAACGTATAGATTTTTTATTTTGACCGAACAGAATTCAACTCCCAGTTCTGCTACTTAGTACTTTTATGGCATTGGGCAGACTGTTGAACATTTCTGAACCTCGGTTTGTTCACCTGTAAAATGGGGCGAGGACCCTGTACTGCCAGGTGGAACAAGCACTGTGTTGGGAGATTACAACGGCAATGCGAGTCCAGGGCACACCTCAGTGCCTGGTGAGCAACACAAAAGACAGAGGTTCTGTGTTTTCTTTAGCATGGTTGCCTCCAGCCTCAATAAGCATGGAGTTGCTGCTTGTGGCCTAAATAGAACTGCTCCACAGCAAAAATATAAAAAGCAAACCTATCCTTTGAGTGGCGTTACTGGGGACGAAGTTTCTTGTCCAGTTTTAGCAAGAAGCAAAGCAACTGTGGCTGAGTCTGGCCCGTGTGGAGAAGTTACCTGTCAGCAGCGCTGTCCGCTCTGTCAGGCTGACAGGCATTACCTGTATTTAGGTTCATTTCAGGACTGTACACAAGACTTCCTTCTGTCAGCCACACACACACATTTGTTTTTCAAAAGCTTTGTGACCCAGAGTTTCAATAGGAAGCCAATAAGGTGAACTGACACAGGGTCATCTTTACTATTCTTTCCAAGTCATGCTGCACAGCTAGAGAGACTGACGGGACTCTAACATCTCCAGATCTCTTCTAACACACGAGGGGACTTCAAAAAGTTCGTGGAAAATGAAATGAAAGACTTTGGATTTTTTCCTATGACCTTTTTGAAGCCCCGCAACGCATACCTCTTTTTAAACGCTCTCAGGAAAAGGCTACTAAATTAGTAGTAGAAAACCAACCACAGAAAACTAAATATCTACCATAGGATGGTAAAATTCTGTGGTGCAAATGATACCTTTCAAATTTGGCCAATTAAAAAAAGGAGGGGAAAAAGGATTCCAGTGAAAAATTTATAGACTGGAAGGAATGAAATAAGCCTCTGGCTGTAGGAGTTTTATTTTTCCATTCTTAGAAGGCATTAGAAATGCCCTGACTCAGAAGAGGTGAAATTCAATCAGAAGGCAGATGAAGTTACACACGAGCCTAGTCTTCATGGGGTACATGCAGAAAGGTATTTCGTAACACAGGTAGTTTTATTATTAGACCCCATTAGGAGCTGCTTTGGGAAGTTATATTAGGAGTTACTCCCAGAACCTCATCTATTATGAGGGTAGCAATTTTCCCAGAGACCAAACATAAATTTAATGAAAAGTTAGCTCTAGTTCAAACACTGCAACCAAGTTGCTATGGTAACAGAAAGACCCTTTCGTGTAATTATGCATCAAGATTTTTTAAAAACCAGAAATGACTATACTATACTTAGGTAAAAGGTATTTTAAGTCAATAAAGAATTAACTTAGTTGAAGAGCTTTCAGACATTTTTATAATGTACAGATAGAACTTCATTAATTCTGGTTTTTATTTTAAAATACTATGTATAACATTTTTTTTTGAACAACTCACAAAAATGACCAAATGAAAGACTTAGGAACAATGGAAATACTTCATGCTTTTTTTTTTTAAATAATAAAGAATAAATATACAAGATTTACTAAAATCAAGCCTCAAAGTTGATAATTAAATTTTACTTTTGCTTACTACCTATACTAGTGTGAAGAAATAATCTACTGAAGTATAATTAACACATAAGCATATATATATATATTCCTCATGTAATGTTAGTTTATATATATATATAAAAACTAACATTACATGAGGAATGTCAGATATAACTTGGTAGCCTAAACAATATAAAAACAGAGTAGCACGGTAAATTTTGTAAACCATTTTCTAAGAAAAATGCAGTAAATTAGGTCATTGGGCTAGGTCAAATCAAGAAAATCCCTCATTTCTTATGTTAACAGTTCTACAGTTTCTAAGCAGTCAAATGATATGTATTATTGTATAATGGCCTTAAAAATATTAAAGCTTCTGTAAGACCTGCAATATAAGTGATGAAAGCCCTGTCGGGAAAAATAATATGGAATAACCCACATTTTCTTTTGTAAGCACTGAAGTTACTATAGATGGGTTTTCAATTTGATAGCTGAATTCTGAAAATTGCAAAGGAAAAAGGAAAAAGAAAATGGAGAATGGATGCAATAAAATGAACAGAGACCCACTGCTGTATTTCCAATTGGACTGGAGAACTCTTGGACTGTGCTAAGTTGAATGCAATTGCACACAGATAATACGTCAAATTGTGTGCTTCAATACATGTATTTATGTTTGCAACCAGGAATGTCTTATGACAAAGGCCAAAGGAGCGAACTGTACAATCTGCTTTCCATCACGGAACTCAAATGAGACATGGATTTCTTACTCATGCGGCAGGTCACCCTATCCGTCTCTTCTATCACCTCTATTCAAATCCCTATTGAATGGATTTTGTAAGTGAAAACAAGGTATTTCTTGGAACAAAGAATGCAAGGACACATTCCCATGGACAGTTTCTAAAACTGTAAGCATGTACTCAGGTGATTAAGAGTTACTGGCTTTTAGGAAGGGGTTTACAGAGAGAAGAAAAGTGATAATGTGTAAATTCTACTATTCTCAAGTATTTTATATTGTAGTAAAATGTGCACTGGAATAAGGAAGAAATAGCTTTTAATGCCCAATACTGATTTAACACAAACTTCATTTATCAAAGAAAACCAAGAGAAATTTATATACCTCAGCTTGTCTCCATCCCTGGTCCTAACCTCCTTTCTGGGAACAATCATATTCATATTTTCTACTTATTCTAAAACTTGGTCTTGACTGCATCCTATGGGTCTCAAACACCCTGGTAGGAATGATACTGATCACAGTGTAAGTCTGACAGTGTTTTCCCATTTACATCAAAACCTCTCATTCTACACTTGTACTCGTATAAAGGGATGGTTTAGTTCTGTGGTTTAAATGACATCCATGCACTTTCAGGTTTCTGTGGCAGTGTTTTAGTTCAAAAAAGATAAGTGGTAACACTGGAGACTTTTTAAGTCAGGAAACAGGAATGAATGTCAAGTAATCGGTCAGGATTTACGGTGGGAATTCCTCATCACCATTGTGGTTCTGTGCCATGGAGTCACTTCCGACTCATAGCGACCCTGCACAGGGCTTCCGAGGCTATAAATCTTTACAGGAGCAGAACGCCTCATCTTTCTCCTGCGTAACAGCTGGTAGTTTCGAACTGCTGATCTTGCAGTTCGCAGCTCGATTCATAACCACTACGCTACCAGAGCTCCTTTCATCACCATTAGAAATCTCATAAAATGAGATTGTAATACTAGGGTCTTTCGGCCAAGAAGAGGCACAGTGGCAACAAGGAGACCTCCCCTTATGCACCCTTCTGTTACCCTTCCATGCTCTAAAAACTACTAGTCAACCTTTTCCAAACAAATTATCTAAAGTACTCAACTGATGAAAACAACTAGAAGCAGCTCTTTATAAATAACTTGTTTATTTACGTTGTTTAAGGAGTTGGCTGTTTCTCTGGTATTGCCTGAGTCCCCCCTTCATGATCGTTTTCTACTTGTAAAATCAGCAGAGATTCTAACATGACCAATAAAGTCATGATGGAATCGAAATTCATTTGAGTCATGTACCAACCATTAATGCCAAAGGTGAAGACATGGATGATTTCTACAGTCTGAAATTGATCAGACATGCAATCAAGATACATTGATAATTTACTGATGATTATGAGGCTCCGGTAGCACAGTGGTTATGAATCGGACTGTGAACCTTAAGGTCAGTGGTTCGAAATTACCAGCTGTTCCGCAGTAGAAGATTAGGCTATCTGCTCCCATAAAGATTTATAGCCTCGGAAACCCTGTATAGGGTCGCTATGAGTCAGAACCGACTCCACGGCACATAACCACCAACCACCAGGATGTGAAGGAGTCCTGGTGTGGCACTGTAAGATAAGCACTTGACCACAAGGTTGGTTTCAACTCTAAGGTCAGCAGTTCAAATTCACCAGTCGCTCCTTGGAAACCTTATACAGGGTGGGTCACTATGAGTTGGAACCAACTCGATGGCACTTT